GGTCGGGCCTTCATGATTACGCGAGGTTGGGGTCTGAAAACGGCCTTCTGCGAGTCACCAGCTGAGCTCGGTGCTGGGAAGATGACACCTGCCCATCCTGGGTCCGGAGGAGAGGATCGTGTGAGACCAGCAGAGCTGGTCATAATATATATATATATATATATGTATATATATATGTATTTTAGCGTTGAAGATTAAAAAAAATAATAAAAGAAATGGTGACGGCTTTATCATGAAATCCTGTTTTCACTTTAATGACTGTTAACTCAGCTGAAAATAATAAAAAGACACAAAATTATTGGCTATCTCAGGAATATTTCCCTCAAACATGTTTAAAGAAGAGAGACGGCCTTTAGTTCAACTTTATTTTAACCCACAAATGTACAAATCACAAAACAAGAATCCAAAAAAGATCAATCTGGTCCTCTGGACATTCAAAAAAACAAAAAACAAAACAAAGCAACAAAATGTAGATACGTTTCATCTTTCATCCGAATGACTTCCTCAGTCTGAGGTGCCATATTCAGCTCAGTCACTTAAATAGCACCTTCTCAGAGTGGATCAACCAGTTTGCTGCTGACAACCAAAACCAGCTGCTTACATGGTCAAGAAGGACCATCAGCCTAACAATGGATCATTAGCACACTGTGATACTAGTGATACTGCGCAATGGGATTAACCTGTCTAATGGCTCCAGTATACTGCCGTGTACGTCCGTTCACGCTTACGTACGCGTGTACTGTACGCAGAGGGTTCAGACATGATACTCCAGCGTACACCCCGAGCAGCTGCAGAGCAGCTTCACAGAAAAGGGGCGTTTACCTTCGGGACAAATTGAGGTCGCCGATTTGTCATTTGCTGACACACCTACTGGATTGATTGACAGTTCGGAAAAAAGAAAAAAAAGCGAGCGCTGGCAGCCTCAGCCGCAGCGGTGTTGTGTGTTTATATGTTGTTAATAAAAAGATCTAAAAAATAAAAAAAAAACAGAGAGCGCTGGCTCTACAGCCCACACATCAGACCAGCCCACCAAGTATGGA